TGCGGCTGATCTGCACTGGCTCGGAAGATGAATTCTGATTGGCTAAAAAAACAAAAAACTTGTGGCGTTGAATGCACGTTCATTGTCAGTATTGTTATGCAAATTCAAACTAGCTAATCATTTACAACCTTCCGAGCCAGTGCAGATTAGCCCCAACACTGTTGTACAAATAACGAACAAAATAAAATAAATTGAAGCTCTTATATTAGCACTGCTAAATTTATCATTGGCATGGCTGCTATTTCAAATACTGCATGCGTCTTTAATACATTAGATCTATGAATTACACACGTTTCCCTGCAACTATCATCAGTTCCTGGATGTAGCCTTTAGCTGCGCAATTTATCACAAAAGTCACTATAGCAGCTTAAATGTAAACTGCTTTGGGACAGACCAAGTCTTCTTATGTGAAGCATATTATTGTTATGGCAATGTGTCATTATTGTTTTTTCTCCTGTACATTCAGTCTGCTGTTGTGCCTGGTAACACACTGAGGAGGCATGACATTTTATTATGCACTCACTAACAAGTACTACCTACTCTATAAATAATGTCATTTTCACACAAAATATGCACTAAATAATGCACACATTGGTAATTCTTCCTTAGACCTTTGAACTTTAACTCCTTGTGCATCAAAGTAAATTTTTGTCATCATACAGAAATTATAAACCCTCACAATTTGTTCATCAATGTAACAAAAGGAAATTATGTCCATTTGATATGAATTTATCAAAAAAGATAGCGAAAAATACATAAAAACAGATCAACAGTTGCGTCAAAATTTTGTAGAGAAAAATTTATGATGCTCAAAGTGTTAAGTTTATATTCCTAATATACACATCCGACATATTGCCATGACAACACACAGAAAATGTCAGCATCTCAGACAAAACCAGAAGGGGGTATTTCTTTTCTAAATACCATTGAATATAATAAATAAAGGTATATTATATTATCTACTGATACTTGTTTATAAAACCTTCAACAATTTTTATGAGTGCTTATTTAAAATCAAGGGAGTCAGCTGTCATGACAATGAATGACCCTGAGATTAGTTGAGACAATTTTGTCAATCTCCTCGTAAACGTGATCAGACATGACTACTTTGAATATAAATCAGATTGTTAGTTTTGTATTCAACGGAAATTCTTAGACTCTTCTGTGGATCACATAAAGCATGTGCAATTGAAGAGAAATCTGTGAATATTTGGACTACCAGACAAAAGTTCTAACTAAAACACTGAATCATTCTGTCAATTTATTCAAGTAGTTTGCATCCCTTATTCCATCGTTTTCACTGGTATCTTAGTATGCTGCAGGCACAGATATTGATAACCCTCTTGATTTCAATTGGTTCATCATTAACCCACTTACTTACTTTTCCTCTCAACATTTCATAGACACAAACACAGGAGCCCTTAATTTCAATTGGTTCATCCCTAACCAAGTTACTTACTTTTCCTCTCAACATTTCATAGGCACAGGAGCCTCTTGATTTCAATTGGTTCATCCCTAACCAAGTTACTTACTTTTCCTCTCAACATTTCATAGGCACAAACACATGAGCCTCTTGATTTCAATTGGTTCATCCGTAACCAAGTTACTTACTTTTCCTCTCAACATTTCGTAGGCACAAACACGTGAGCCTCTTGATTTCAATTGGTTCATCCCTAACCAAGTTACTTACTTTTCCTCTCAACATTTCGTAGGCACAAACACGTGAGCCTCTTGATTTCAATTGGTTCATCCCTAACCAAGTTACTTACTTTTCCTCTCAACATTTCGTAGGCACAAACACATG